TATGCTGATATAAACAAATGATTGTATAAATAAATAAATGGAGAAGAATAGCCAAATCTCCAGTGCAGAAGAATTTGAAATAATTTATGCAGATACTGTGAGGGTTAATTTTGTGTGCTAACTTGGAGGATGAGATTAGCAATTAAATGGGTGCACTATGAGTAAAGCAGATTGTCCTCCATTATATGGGTGGGTCTCATCCAAACAGTCGAACCAGGAATCAAACCAAAAGACTGGCCTCCCCAAGCAGGAAGGAATTCTTCAGTGGACTGCCTTTGGACTTCATCTATATTCTTGGCTTACCTGAGTCTTGAGCATGTTGACCCACACTGCAGATTTTTGACTTACTGGACTCCAGAATTGCATGAGCCAATTCCTTATAATAAATCCTTCTCTCTACATATACACACACATACATCCTATTGGTTCCGATTCTCTATAGAACCCTGACTAATACAGATACTTTGCACTCAAGAAAAGTGAGCATGATTCACATTCCTTACACGTGGGCTGCATAGAGTGACTTCCTTCCAAAGAGTACAGTGCGGAAAATGGAGGGAGAAGAGTAATTTTACAGTGGAGAAACTTGGCAAACTACCTCAACCAGGTGACCAAGGTCAACACCAACAATGAACAGTCATGTTGATGGTGTGTATCCTTGATATGATGAGAATGGCACTGTACCTCTGATCTTCCTCCCCTACCCCATAATCCCACTCTAATGAGAAAAACATTAGACAAATCCAAATTGGTGAATATTCTACAAAATACCCGACCAACACTCCTCAAAAGTGTCAAGGTCATCAAAACCAAGGAAAATCGTAGACTTTCACAGTCAAGAGGAGTCAAAGGAAACAGGACAACTAAATGTAGTATGGTATCCTGAATAAGATCTTGGGAGAGGAAAGGGACACTAGGTACAAGCTAAAGCAATTTAAGTGAAGTATGGACTTTGGTTAATGATAATGTATCTATATTGGTTCATTAATTGTGACAAATGTACCATATTAATATAAGATGTTACTAACAGAGGAAACTGTGTGGGGTATACAGGATCTCTCTGTACTAGTTCCTTAATTTTTCTGTAAATCTAAAGCTACTCCAAAATAAAAAGTTTGTTAAAAAAAAAAAAAGAAAGAAAAAGGAGGAGGAGAAGGAGGAGGAGGATGAAAAGATGGAAAAAACCAACTAGGCAGGCACCTTTTAGAGTTACACTTCTCACAGCAAAAAGAACTACAAGTTATTCCACTATCAAGAAGCTTGCAGGGTTAGCCACAAAACCAATGATAAGTATTGTACCTGGGAAAATAATTAATTAATCTTTGCAATTGTAGTCAGATCATACTGTTGGACACCACATCATAGCAATGGCATATGATAGATTACAACAAATGCTACCGTTTAAAAATTATCCAAAATGTAGAAATAAAGCATAAGAAGATTGCTTGTGCTTTCAGTATCATATACCAGAGCAGTGTCTATCAGGCCCACCAAGCATTATTTCATTTTTTAAAAGACAGACTCTTGTTTGATTTACTATTATCTATTAATTAAAACCAAGACTCTGAAGTCACATGTTAACTTGTAGATTTTTGTCTAATGGAGTTGCAAAACATTAACGAGTTATATCTCTGACTTAGCAAATTTATTTTGGTATTCCTTTCCTAAGAGACTGTGTAATCTTTTTTTTTTCTCTAATTTTTCTTTCAGTCATTCTGTGCACGTTGCTGGTTTTCTTATCAATAAATCAATGGCTCATTGACACGCATTTGCTTTATATTTGTATGAGTGTAATGTTTTCAACTTTTTTTTGAAAATTATGCTTTTATCATGCATGTTCAAGGAGCTATTTTGTGTGGCAATTAGATGACATACATCACTGGTATTTGATCATGCATGTTTACAGTACAGAAGCTCTTGGTGGCTTCTTTTTATTAAAGCAGTTCTTTGTAATCAAAGTTTTTAAAACTAAAAACTGAAACTAAGATCTAAAGTTTCTTTAAACTAGAAAACCTAGATATGTCATGAAGATAGCCACTGCTACTCAAATACTACTTGTACTTGAAAGCCAATCTATACATTGCTTTTCTCTTAAAAAGCAGTAATTTACCAAATATAGAGCTCCTGACCTTGATTCAGTGTTCACAAAAATTGTAAAAATTTTAAATATAATCAAATCATGCCTACAGAGAATATGTATTTTTAGCAAATTGCACCAAGAAATTGGCAGCAAGGACAAGATTCTGCTTTTCCCTGTTGAACCACTCTGGCTGCCAAAAGAAAAGGTTTTTGAAACAAAGAAAGAGCTTTAAAAAGTTTTTATGACACCCGTAATACCAGTGTGACAAAATGTGCACAGGACTTTTTCTGTCCTCTGACAATTTTAGAATGATGTCCCTGAGCTGAAAACAGAAAGTGTGAAGTGCTATCAGATTCCAAAAAGAGCTGCCCAAGAGATGCGAAGAGATGGAGGAATTTGCCTGGATCCCATCAACTCACCGCGGCCCTTCCTATATGTAAGAACAGGAACCAGAAAGAGAAGGGACCCTTCAGAGTCAGAGCCTAGGGCTATGGGTTTTTATTCTCCACCGCTGCCCAGGGTAAGAGTTACTTTCAGAGTTGGGCCCTCAGTCATGCCTGAGTAAGGGCGGGTGGTGGGACCTCAATCCCTGGCTAGACAGCTGCGGAAGGCAGCGAACTTGCTTTTGTCTGCCCTGTGTGTCTGTCTAAACAAGGGAAAAGAGAGGAAAGAGACAAGAGGGTAGATGCAGGATAGGCAGGAGCTGTCGGGGAGCCTCCTGCTTTCTGTATCTCACGTGGCAGGGTGAGCAGGCCAAGTAGACACCATGGGAGGGTGCCAGGCTTGGTACCTTACTAAAGAAGGCTGTGGGCTTACTAGGGAATGCAAGAAGGGGGGCATCCTTCTGGAGGCAGGAGCCGGGGAGGGGCTTACCTAGGGGTGAAGCTGAGTGACTCTGCCAAGTAAAGGTAGTGTGCGTGGGGAAGCTGCCTGTGGAATCTCCTAAGGAACATACCCGTGTCTCCAGAATAGCCAGCCTCCTATACAGAGCGTGTCTGCCGAGAGAGAATGACATTACACCAGTTAAACAAAACACCTTTGCCCCTCTTCTGTAATTCCTTCTCTGCTGTCCAAAGGTGGAAGCAAAAAGGAGGAGCGAAGGCGGGCATGAGAGAGCACAGATTATACTCAAGTCTCGCCTCCTGCCTGGCTGGTTCTGGGGAGCAGGAGAGAGAGGATATGAGACTGGGTGAGTGAGTGAAGTTTAAAATGAACCGGGCCAGAGTGTGCTTTTATATATCACTTGAGTAACTGAAAGTAACCAAAAAGCTATGGGATTCGCCTAAAGCATCTTTAAGTGATGGAAAAGAGAGATGCAGCTAATCAAGTTTGAAAGCAAAGATGAAAGAAAAACATTTTGTGTTGTGGCTTATTTAGTTTATATGGTTCAATAAATTTAGTTACACCCATTTTGGAGTATATTTCAGAAAATAGTCTGTATCTTAAGTAGCTTGAATTTATCACTTAAGGATCATAATTTTTAATGTTGAGAATGTGATATTAGGATTTATTAAGATTCAGTTATGGGACAAACAGCTCGATTTTCAAGAGCTTCACTTTCTCCAGGCAATGATTTACTTTTCTCATTGAAGAGAGAATCTTACATTGGCTATGTTTTAAAGTCACATCAATAGGCTGTAACAGACTATGAAGAAATTCTTTTTAGATTCAAGGTAACTAGAGACTATTTACCGCTCATCATAATGATATACTAAACATTTACATAGCACTGACTATGTGCCAAGTACTGTCCAAGGTGCTTTGCTTATATTAACACAATATGTATAAAAAAATAAAATTACCTGATGTTGCTATATGTGAAAGTTCTTTACAAGCTATAAAATGCAGCATAATTATCAGAGGATATTACTGATATTATAACAACAATTATTATGATAACAAGAATGTTTCCGTGTTTCAGAAATCAATTTGTATTGATAGGAATTTAAGAAAAAAATGTCCAGTGCTGCATATTATTTCATCACAACATACCCCAGTCTTTCTCCAACAGGCAGCATCATGGAGACCATGGACCCCCTCTGCCGTCCCACCCATCTTTGAACCAATGCAAACTGTCTTCAGAACTCACGCCCTTACATAAAAAGGCTCTACAGGCAGATCACCTGAGGTTGAAAGGTGTAGCCAGCTGGACTTCCTGGTTCAAGTGGAGACTTGGAGAACTTACCTGTCTTACAAGAGGGCTGTAAAATGCATCAATCAACACTCTGTAGCTAGGATTGTAAAGCGCACCAATCAGTGCTCTGTAGCTAGCTAGAGGTTTGTAAAATGCACCAATCAGTGCTCTGTAGCTAGCTAGAGGTTTGTAAAATGCTCCAATAAGTGCTCTGTAAAAACGCACCAATCAGTGCTCCGTAGCTAGCTAGAGATTTGTAAAATGAACCAATCAGCACTCTATAAAATGGACCAATCAGTGCTCTGTAAAACGGACCAATCAGCAGGACATGGATGGGGACAAATAAGGGCATAAAAGCTGGCTACCCCAGCCCACAGCTGCAACCCGCTCAGGTCCCCTTCCAGGCTGTGGGAGGTTTGTTCTTGCGCTCTCCACAATAAATCTTGCCACTGCTCACTCTTTGGGTCCACATCACCTGTAAGAGCTGTAACACTCACGGCAAAGGTCACACTTCATTCCTGAAGTCAGCAAGACCACGAACCCACCAGAAGGAACAAACTCCGGACACAAGGTCAGGAGTTTGAGACCAGCCTGACCAATAGGGTGAAACCCTGTCTCTACTAAAATTACAAAAATTAGCTGGGCGTGGTGGTGGGCGCCTGTAGTCCCAGCTACTTGGGAGGCTGAGACAGGAGAATTGCTTGAACCCTGGAGTCGAAGTTTGCAGTGAGCCAAGATCATGCCACTGCACTACAGCCTGGGCGACAGAGACTGTCTCAAAAAGTAAATAAATAAATACAATATTTTCCTGCTATCCTCCTAACACTTGAACTTGAGCTAACGCAATTTAAGCTTCAAGTCTACCCAATGTAAGTAAGTGAAGCAATGAACAGTGCCTAATGGCCCCTTAAAATGTAGAACACCTATCTACATAGCTCCTTCTTTTCCACCCATTTAAACAAATGATAGCTACTGATGTTTGATTTTACATTAAGAAGAACATGTTGTCAAAAGTACCTAAATCATTTTCTCACCTCGCTGCTTCACTTTCCCTTTGTGGATGCAGACTAAGGATCTTAATTTATGAGTTACCCACTCGAGCTTCTTTGCCAGACACCTGGACCTGTTTGCAGAATTAAATTATTGGCTGTGAATCTAACATCAAACCTCCAGATGGCACCAGAGAACTGAGAAAAACAATTCCATTTCCAAGGAGACTTTGTGTTGCTAACAAGAGACAAGCAGGCTGAGAGAAAACGCCCTGTTTGTCACAAAGTTACATCTGCGAGCTCCTTCAAGGAAGGGAGGTGCCTGACGCTCCTTGTTAATGCCCGTTGCTGTTATGCTGTTACAGACTTGCAATTGTGCAACTCTGTGATGTAAACAGGCAGGCTTTTGTATTTTTGCTGTGCCCCTGGAGAGTGGAGAGGGTGGTTCTCTTGGCTGTCTCTGGAACAAATTTGGGTAAGTGCTCAGAGATGTGTTACTACAGAATGTACTTGTGAAGCTCTTATTGCAATGCAGTCAGATAAGCAAAGATATCTGCTAGAAAATAAGAAAAAGTTACACAATTTTAGACTTTGTGGTTCATTGTCTTTTAAGACAGCAAGTCCTGGTATTGTCTCTCATAAAGCTACAGAAAGAGACCATGTTGAAAACTGATGATAGCAGTCGATTATTTGCGAAAAGCCTGAGAGATGATTCAGTAAATACAAGGTGAATTTCATTGCATCCATGCAATCAGAGACTTGCATACACTTTTTATCCCCTAAACAGATGAACGAATGGCATGGCCCAGCTAGCAGGCAGTTGGCAGGATAAAGTTCTAATCAACAATTGCCTCTTGCCTTCCTTTCTTCCATCAGCTTCTAGCTTACCTTTCAGACACAGGTTCCATCAAAGGAAACCTAAAGGGAACCTTCCTCCTTGGCCTTGCCCCATCTAGCATCCACAAGGATATTACACTCCAGTGAAGCCTAGGATGTATCCCAATACCCCAAGAGCAGCATCAACAGCTTTAATCCTACAACTCATGGTTTACTTCTGCAACATTGAGATACTTGCTGGGGCCAGAGGACAGGGTGCAAGTGGGAACCTGAAATGCTCTTTTCCAGGCTTACTGCGGGACTCTTTGTCTCATCTCTCAACCATATGTCACCTCATAGGATAGATCTCTCCTGACCATCCTATCTAAAATTATTTCCAGTCACTCACTCTTTCATCCCTCTGCACTTATCAGAGTAAAATAGTCTCATTTTATACTTGATTGTCTGCCTTCCCTCACTACAGTTATTGTTGAAGCGGGCAGTAACTCCCTCTGTCTGGCTCCCACGGTATCCCCACCTTTTACAAGAGTGTGTGGCATGTTGTAGAAGGTTTGGTATAGACTGAATAAATGAATGAATGATGACAATAGGCTGATTCATTTCTCTATTTTCTTCTGGTTATGAAATTTGATTAAAAAATGAGATTTGGGATCAAAGCCATTACCAGATAACGTTATATTAACACAAATAACTGAATTATGCCTTAGGAAAAGACAGTGTATAACAGGGAATTATAGATAACTTAAAAGAATATCTTTTCTGAAGTAATAAAAGAGAGGAACATTTTAAAATAAATGATGAAAAAGAGAACCCAAAGGCACAGGATCCTGCTGATAAACAATTGCACATAAGGATGTACTATTTCCATGAGAATAAGTATATCCTGGCTCAAAAAGAGCAGAATAAAATTGGTACAGTCTCAGGTTTATTCTGCTATTTAATCTACAATTGCACAACCACATGGGACATCCACCAACTCACCAGTCCAGGAGGGAGAAAAACGCCTTGGATTCTTTCTATATTTATAGGCATGTATACTGCAAATTGCATTATCTCTAACAGACTGCCAGATGAGCTGGAAAAGATCATCTGTCAGCATATCCAGAAAGCTTTGTCAGACTTTCAGATTAGCTCAGGTTCCACTGTAATCTCACTATATACTTCTTCATCAAATCGATTACCATTGTAATTAAGTGATAAATTGGGTGATTTGTTACCTAGCCTCTTTCACCTCCATTGCGATGTACCCTTCAAGACAGAGTGTTCCTGTTCCTGTCCAGTGCTACATTCCTAGCCTTTGGAGGAATGCCTGCTAAACCAAACAATTAATAAAATATTTGTTGAATAAATGGATAAATTGAGCATTTATTATGCTGCAAGCACAGTACTGCATACATCCTTACGTACAATTGCTTTTTAAATTTCATCTCACACAACCTATCTGGTAGATACTAGTTTTATCCCCATTTTACAGATGAAAAAACTGAGGTCTTTAGAAAGATTAAGCAATATCACTGAACAAGAATTGAACAATAATATCTATAGCAAGTTGCCCATTTTAAATGATATTTTACTGGGGAGTGTGAATTATTGTGGATAAAGGAAGTCTTTGGCAAAGAAACACGTAGAAGCAAATTTCATCACTAGAGAGCATCGCTATCTACTGAAGTTCGAAACTACATAGTTAGGCCGAGTATCCCCTTTTTGGTTTGTGCCTGACCAATTATGAATAATGCAGAGTTTACATTTTGCTCAAACATGAATGACTGGTTTGTTGGGTATGTTGAACTTGCCACTATCTAGAAACAATTTTATTTTTTCCCCTGCCACTATCTTCACACCGTGTAATCATGTTGTCTTTTTCCATCATTGGATGAAATCTTGGGCAGATTCCCCCAGCTTCTCATTGAGTTTCAACCATAAGAGCAGCCTCATTTTATTTAGGGTATCAAAAAGTCTATTATAATTACTTTGTATTTTGTGAAATATAACAGTAGCATTGTGAGTATATCAAAAAGATATCCCCGTAGCTGTTAGAGATGCACATGAAGTGTGTTTTAGTGAAATGATAAAGTATTTAAAGTTTGATTTTGAAATAGTCCAGAAAAAAAAAGAAGGGGGGAGAAACCACAACCAGTAAAAGATTGATAATAGTTGAAGTTGGGTGATTGGCACTCGGGGAGTAATTGTATTCTTCTTGCTGCTTTTGTATATATTTGAAAATGTCCACACTAAAATGTTTTGTAAAAATCCAGTCTGGTTTAAATAGAAACTAGATGACATTCTCCAGTGCGAAACATGTGTCTCCTCGTCTTCCATCCCTCCATCTCCCTTCAGCTTATGCTGACCCCTGGCCCGGTAAGAAAAGCCACAGTGCGGAAAGCAGGCATGGTCAGTCTTTCCCCTTTCCTGTGCTTGGCTCTTCTCTTCCTCCTCCTCTTTTTATTTTCCTTTCTTCTTTCTTCTACTGGCTCTGCTATTTGTTGCTCTTCCAGGGCTGGGGAAATTGGAAGGGGAGGGAGGCAAAGGGGAAAGTACCTTTTTAATTAGCTGGTGCTATCTGTCATTCTCTCTGGATGGTCATGCCCTCTGGCATGACAGGGGCCACATCCTGGTCCTTTGATGAGGCTCCTCAAAGGACTCTTCATTGGCGTCTTATCACCACCACCATGTTCCATTGTGCCCTGACTGATGAGAGATACGACCTTCCTGGCTAATATGGTCTGAATGTTTGTGTCTCCCCAAATTTATATGTTGAAATTCTAAAATGATGGTGGTATGAAATGGGGCCTTTGGGAGGTGAGTGGGTCATGAGGCACGAGCCCTCATGAATGGGATTAGTTCCCTTATAAAAGAGGCCCCAGAGAGCGGCCTTGCCCCTTCCACTTGTGAGGACACACACAGCAAGAAGGCACCATCTAGGAGGAAGTGGACTCTTTGCAGACACCAAATATGATAGGGCCTTGATCGTGGACTTCCCAGCCTCCAGAACTGAGAAATAAATGTTTGTTGTTTATAAGTCACCTGGTTATTGTTATTTTTTGTTATCGTAACTCAGACAGACTAAATCACTGGCTGCCTTCTCATGACCTCTCTCCCTGCTCCTGCCCTAGGCATAGCCACCGTCTTCATCCTGTCGAGTGAGGTTCCCTTGCTATAGGCAAGCCCCCAGCCAGGGCCTTTGAGGAGTGCCATAGTTTTGATGCTTTCTCTCTTTTCCATCTGGTCCATGGGCTCTCAAGAAGCACACTTGCCTTATGAAATGGTGGGAGTTCAGCTTGTCCATCTAGTGCCTCTCTCCCTGTCCTGCCATCTTGGGCCTTCCAGCTAATCTCAGGAGAGAGAGATGCTTCTTCCCCCATTTTGCACCTGTTGCTCTTGGCTTTAGCTGTCACCAAAATTATGAGGCAATGAAAAGTCCTACGCAACATCCTTTTGTACCCTCCCAGCACGGTTTTGAAGATTAAATAGGATAAAACCTATGAACCACTTAGCATAGTGCCTTGCATGTTATAATTTCTCTATAAATGTTAATATATTTAATAAGTGAAAGGGCAGAAAATATATTTCACTAGATAATTAAAATATATTTCATGAAATTTAATACTCAATTTGATTAAAAACACTTTTTACACTTCTCAGTATGGTGATCTAGGTATTCTGAAGACTCTTGTCACTGCAAGCTGTACACCAGATATGAAGACATTGCACAGAGACAACACTGTAGGGCAAGGAATTAGAGACAATTAAAGAGATATGATACACAAAGACATGCAGGATAGAATGAGAGGGTTTAACATCCAATTGGAATTTCATTGAACAGATCAAAGAGACCAATAGATCCTGACCTGGTCACTTGGCTCACCTACCAGGTGCTCCCCCGACAGGCCAACGTATCCTGTCTATGGCCTGTAAAGTACAAGGGAGAGGCATTTTGACTCTATAATCCTCAGACCGACACCACATGCACACAACAGAACACCTTCAACCAGGCCAGAACTCACCCAGTGACAAACTCAGACATTGTCAGTCAGCCGGCAACATTCTGCAGCTTTGTTTTCCTGATTCATATGAAACAGAGACAGGCCACAGTCTTTCAGTTTTAGAAGACCTACCACATTTCTCCTCTCCCTACCTCATTCCTGAAAGTCTACTTTGACTTTGTTGGACCTAGTCCTTGGCTTGACAGTACAGCATTTTTTTTTTTCCTACTCAGTGCTCAATTTTTGTTTTCAATCATCTTTAGTTTTCCTTTAGCAAAATAACTTGAGATTTCTACAATGAAGAATGACATGAACTCCTAAAAGAATAAAAAGAGTGTTCATATCTTTCATAGTCGGCAAGAGATAATAGAGTAAGAATATATGTGTGCGACTAATCTAAAAGAAAGTAGAAAAAAGACAGATAGAAAAAATATTAAAATAGCACAAAATCATTTAAGATAAGTAAAGCCAAATAATTGATACTTATCAATTTATCACCTTTCTGTGATAACACAAAAAGGTGGAGGGTCTAAACACATCTGTTAAAAGGCAGAAAGTGTGCTAGAAGATGAAAAGGAAACCAACTTTACCTACATGCTGACTATGAGTAACTAAAAACACAAGAACATGACAATGACAGCAATGTCAAAAGTAAAAGATGAAAAAAAGTACAGCAGGCAAATACTAATCAAAAAGCTGATATCTCTATATTAGTGTCAAACAAAGTGGTTTTTGAGACAAAACACCAAGTGTATGAAATTACTCAATAATGATAACAGTTTCACTTCATCAGAGAAAGATAATACTAAACACGACCACCTAAATTTGCATCAAAATATATAAAACACAGCCGGGTGTGGTGGTACACACCTGTGGCCCCAGCTACTTGGGAGGCTGAGGTAGGAGGATCACTTGAGCCTTGGAGGCAACGGCTGCAGTGAGTTGAGATCAAGCCACTGCACTCCAGTCTAGATGGCAGAGCAAGACCCTGTCTAAAATATATATATATATATACACACACACACACATACACACACACACACATATATATGTATATATTACAAATCTTAAACTAATTACAAGGAAAATGTGACAAATTCACCATTATATTAGGAAATTTCACTACCCATCTCAGTAATTTTAGGTTGAGCAGACATACAGCCCCCCACTTACACATACATACACACCTATTACACAGATTGGAAAATTTGAAAACACAATTAATAACCTAGATTTAATAGCTACATATGGGACCAGCACCTAATGATCAAAACATACATTCTTTCTCAAATACACATGGAACAGTTATAAAATTTGGGTAAGTCTAAGACATAAAGCAATCTTCAACACATTTAAAATAATTAAAAATAATTATTTTCATACAGGACACATTATCTTTCCACAGTGCATTTAATCTTGGAAGCAACAACATAATGTCAATGAAAAATGTACCATGTGCTTAGGCATTTAAAAACTCATGAATCATGGCCAGACACAGTGGCTCACCCCTATAATCCCAGCACTTTGAGAGGCCAAGTTGGGTGGATCACTTTAGGCCAGGAGTTCAAGACCAGCCTGGCCAACATGGTGAATCCCCATCTCTACTAAAAAAAAAAAAATGCAAAAATTAGCCAGGCTTGGTGGCACGTGCTCCATCTCAGCTACTGGGGAGGCTGAGGTGGAAGATGGCTTGAAGCTAGGAGGTGGAGACTGCAGTGAGCTGAGATTGCACCACTGCACTCCAGCCTGGGTGACAGAGGGACTCCAACTCAAAAAAAAAAAAAAAAAAAAAAGTCATGAATCAAATACCAAAAAAATGGAAATTTATAAGCATGTTAGCATTGAATGCTAATAGAACCACTATGCAATACAATATGATTTTGTGATTATTTAGCCCATAAGATAATGAAGGAAGAAAAACAACAGATTTGGTAAAATTTGGACAACTCTTATGGATATGTCCTTAAAGTCTTGAGTACGGCTGGCTGAGTAGATTTTATCATGAATTGATACCACCAAGGCATAGTTTTTACTTCAATACAGCACCTATAATTTCAGTATCTCTAACTTCATGCTATACAGCACCTATAATTTCAGTATCTCTAACTTCATGCTATGGGCTGAATTATGTCCCCCTAAAATTCATATGTGGAAGTCCTCAACCCCAATATCTCAGAATGTAACTGTACTTAGAGACAGGCCATTAAAAAGGGAATGAAGGTAAATTGAGGCTGCTACTGTGGACCTTGCTCCGGTCTGCCTGGTGTCCTTGTAAGAAGAAGAGATTAGAACATATATGACCCAGAGACCTAGAAGTGACCGTGTGAGGACACAGTGAGAGGGAAACCATCTGCAAGCCACAAAGAGGGGCCTTCGAAGAAGCCAACCCTGTCAGCACCTCAAGCTTGGACTTCCAGTCTCCAGAAGTGTGAGAAAAATAAATCTGTTATTTAAGCGGCCGGTCTGGGATTTTGTTATGGCAGCCCTAACAAACGACCACACTTCACATTCAAGAAAATTCATGTTTACTTACTGATATGGACTAAATTTTGTCCCCCGCCCCTGTGCTCAAAGATTCATATTTTGGAGTCCTAACCCACAATATGACTGTATTTAGAGTCAGGATGTTTTGAGGAGGTGATTAAAATTAAATAGGTCATGAATAGGGCACCAATCCGATAAGACTGGTGTCCTTATAAGAAGAGGATGAGAAACCAAATCAATCTCTCTCTCTCTCTCTCTCTCTCTCTCTCTCTCTCTCTCTCTCTGTCTCTCCCTGTGCATACAAAGAGGAAAAGTCCTGTGAGGGTACAGTGACAAGGTGACCATCTACAAGCCAGGAAGAAAGGCCTAACAAGAAACCAACTCTGCTAGTGCCTTGATCGTGAACTCCCAGCCTCTAGAACTGTGAGAAAATAAACATCTGTTGTTTAAGCCACTTGGTCTGTGATATTTTGTTATGGAAGCCCAAGCAGACCAATATGCCTACTAAGTAAGTACAAGTTCTAGACATCAAAATGTTTTCTTTATGTCATCTCCTTGACAAGTTAAATATTTCAATGTCCACATTCTCCGAAAGAAAAGGAGTCAGTGTTTTAACGGATCCTGTTTAATCTTTACTTCCCTATATCTTTATTTCTGTGAATGTGACTTCAAAAATGGAGTCATTCTATATCCTACTGCTAAGGCACAATCTGGTAAAAGCAAGAGAAAGGCTTTGCTCTGCTAGTTCACCCTTTTCTGCTCAGCATTTGGCTCTAAACTGTAACCCGAGACCCTGAAGTTGCTGAGGCCCTTAACTTCTTACTCCTTTGTCTCAGAATGATCTCAGCGGGACAGTTCCTGGAGTTTCCTTTCATGTTTCAGAATATGACCAAGACCAAGAAAATAAAATGTTGATTCCTGATGCCATGTGGCTCAGGGTTTAGACAATGCACTCGGGTCACAGAAAATTGAGACCAAATCTGTTTTCTTGCATCTGCTCCATTGCCCTCTGTGACATTAATTCTCGACAGCAGATTCAACGTGCTAGAACCAACCAATATTAGAGTGCTTAAGAAGTTAGGTTAAACTGAGCTCGGGTCACTGTGCTAGAACTATGGTTACCAAAACTGAAGTACATATTTACTCTTCAGTTCCTATCTCAGCTGTGAAACTGTGAGTTTTAATTAGGGAGTAAAGGATTTGTCTCCTTAGCTTCATGTTAGAAAGCAAATGAAAAAACTTGTCTAAAACCCTTAAAAAATAGTCCCAACCTGGGATAATTCTTCTCAGCTATTCATGGAAATATATGACCTATTTTAGGCAGGTAAAACAGAGGCAAAATTAAATTGAGACATTTGAAACCATGGAATAATCTAACAACATGCTTTTTTTAAATTCATTCCCAAATGACACATCAAGTTCCTAATTTTTATAATGAACTGCTTTAGGCGTGAGACAATGAAGTAGTGTATAAAGTATTACAAATAAACTCATATATGTAAAACTGTTTTAAAAATTTTAGTGATATGGAAATATAGCACTGTTGTATTAAATAATAACCTATTCTATAATCTATATTTTAAATTTCTTATTTTAGAAACAGCTCTTATATGTTGAAGTTTGCTAGTAACTAATATTTGTAACTATAGTCTAAAACCATATTGTCACAATGATATGTAAAATCATAATGTCATATTATATCTTTACACAGAACTTTTGCTGTAGTATTATTTTCTTATTAAAAATTTAAAAACAGATATCAGTTTCCATGATAGCTAATCAAATACACTGTTTTGTGATAATTTCTCTTATTTTATGATAAAGCAATCTTAACTATTATAAAAGCAAATAATATATTGAACTACTGATCCAATTTATCAATTAATGGTAATACAGTACCTACTATGTGTCAAGAGTTATGCTAGGCCATCAGTTAGGACAACTATGGCTGCAAAGGATCACCCAGGATCAAACTGTCCTAAGGAAGTTTACTATTTCATACTGGAAGTCCAGAGGAGAAAGGAAGAGGGCACAGCACTTTTGGTGGCTGAAAGACACCTTTGTGTCTGCACAGACCCAGAATTCTTCATCTCTCTGCCATCTTTAGCATCAGCTTCATCATAAGGCTGCTTTCACTCATGGTTTCAAAGGGTGTCAGTAGCTCCAGGAATGTCATTTAGTTTAGACAGTGTCCCGAAGGAGAAAAAAGACTTCTTTTTCTCATATGTCCTTCTTAAGAATGTGGAAAATTTTACCAGGATCTCCTGAGAGATTCTTGTCCACCCCTCATCAGTCAGCACTTTGTCTCATGCCCACTCCTGAGCCAATGCAGGATGCCTTTTCCCCTCTTCTCCATGCGTCTCCCTGTGATTGGTTTGGACCCATCAGGACTCTCCCCTGGGGATGGAGGTTGAGGCTCTATGTTTCTGTCTCATGGAGGAAGAGTGGAAACCAGAATAAAACCAGAGCTCTGAGAGCAAGGACAAAAGTAGCCTCTTACTAGGTCTGCTACAGCTATGCTGAGTTTGGAAAGCACAGTCAATCTGATGGAGGAATAATCAATAGGGAATTGTACACAAAGAGAAGACATGAAAAGCTAAATGATAATACCCAGTAAGTACCTGTAAATCCTCCTTAGAACCAGGAGGGACATATATAACTACATAAATACAACATCAAATAATAAATCATAATATAGCTTGTCATTTGTAGACAATGCATGTTGTATGGGATCAGAGGAGTAATAGCATGTAGGTAAACTGTCCAGAGAAAATTTTATGGAAGAAGTGAAACTTAAAAAAGAGTTGCATTTAGATAATTCTGGAATAAATAGAACCATTGCTTTTCTGCCTTTTCTTGAAGCTTTGAGTCTTCTGACTTGTCTCAGTACCATGCAATAAGAGCAGATACTGACCCTCTCCTTTTGTTCTTACAATAAATCAGATCTGCTTTTACTTTGACCTGTTCCTGATATCTTCAGCTCCAGGCTCTTTGGCTCATAAATCCCTGTGTTCATTGTTTATAATAAAGACTCCCCATGACTTCTCTACTGCTATTGGCTTCCCTTTCAACAACTATTCAAACGATCTACTTGGATAGCATTGTTCTAACTACCCTGGTTCATTTTTTCTTTTTCATTTTCCAGCTTTAGCCCAGGCCTGAGGGATTTCCCCTACCCAAGTGGTCATGGCTGAAATTCCCACCATACTGGTCCCTGGTAGTAGAGTCAACTCTACCTTTCTGTCCTCCACCTCCACATCTGACAAACAGGTGCATTATTTTACTTCCCTCATGGAGTTTTTGTGAGAACTAATGAGTGAAGTCCTTATAAAATATTTAGAAAAGTATCTGAAAAATAAATATTTTATAAGTAAAAATTAGCCACTATTAATATTATCGCTGTTATTTTTGTTTTCCTACCAATCTGAAAAGCTTGGGTTTGATTGCAGAGATAATTATGAGTGTTTTCATTAGGTAATTTATATAATAAAAGCAACAGTTTAGGTGTTGAATAGGTCAGCAGGTGAGAGAATAGAGAGAGGAAATACAAGATACTGTAATATCTCAGGTTTGTCAATAAAATAAATTAAGATTTGGTCTAGAATTTGGCAGTGAAAAGCACTGGAAAAATGTGCAAAGCATTTCAATGAAAAAATTAACAGGATTTTAAAGGCTTTTTTCATATAACTGGTGGTTTGAGGGAGAAGGTGTGAGCTTGCATACCTGGAAAAATTGATAGAAACTGGCTTTTAAAAATTCTATTGCTCATACTTGGTAATTTTTCTGGCTACACTTTTTTTTTTCGAAGAGACTAGTAAATTTATCAGCTTTACATTGTCTTTGATTTAACATAGAAATAAAATAAGTTCCCTCTGTGGACTATATCCTTGGATTATAGTGAGAGTTCAATTTCCAACAAAGAAAAGTAAGTGTAGAAGTTTTACAAAGCTTTATTTCATCCCACAACATTGTCGTCCTTGTAAAATCACGAGTGTGTTGAGTTTAAGCAAAAAATAATTAGGCGTGGAAATCAAATTAAAATATGGAAGATACTCTTTCTGCCCTAAGACTTTTCCCTCTACGCAAAGCAGACAGAAAAGTTGTATAATTTATGAGAATGCTGATTAAATCACCCTTCAGCAACCACCTTTTCATAGTATTATTTTTCCTCCAAAGCCACATAAGAGCCACAAGAGATTTAATGATTGTGCAAGAAAAGTTTTTCATTAAGGACTTTAATAAAATCAAATTAAATAAAAATTGAGAATCAATACAATGATGATAGGAATCTGTGGACATGATTATTTTTGGAAAAAACTTGCTGATCTCATATGCACGAATCTTTAAGTCAGATGGTTTGAAAATTTGGTCTCCATTTTGAGTTTGGGCACCTATTAATCATCTGTACATGTGCTTTTGTACTTGGCTAAATATGACCAGCTCACAGAAGTTTGTTAGTGCATATTTGGTTTCATTCATTTCCCACATTTTGAGAAAAGGGTGCCTTGGTTTGGTTAGATAACAGAAGAGAAAATGGCAAAAACAAGTGTGTTCGATCTCCCTGAAATGATGCTCCACTGTTCTTGAGTCTCTGTGACCCAGAAGGCTCCTCTTGTATCTTTTTCCTGCTGGTATGTGAGAAAATCTGGCAAATGTGGGAGCCAGAGAGGCTAGGCCACTAAAAGCCTGTGTGCGAAATGATCTGTACACAGCGAATTGACTCCACCTTTCACACATTACCACTTAAAGCATGAAAGGAGTATGGCAAGGAGGAAGCATTTTACCAGCAGAAGAAAACATGCCTCCAACATCAAGAAGTTCCAGCACAATTTCGTGCAGCCAGGACCAGATGAAGGTAAAGGTCAAGCAATATGTTTTAAGGACTGAATATCTATGTTTCCCCAAATTCATATGTTGAAATCTAACTTCCAATGTGAAGGTATTTTTAAGTGGGGCTTTAGGAGATAATTTGGTCATGAGGGCAGAGCCCCTATGAGTGGAATTAGTGCTCTTTTAAAAGGGATCCAAGAGGGCTCTCTCTCTTGCCCTGTTTTTGCCATATGAGAATCCAATGAGATGGTATCATCTGCAAATCAGGAAGAGGATGCTCACCAGACACCAGGTCTACCAGCACCTTGATCTTGGACTTCTCAGCCTCTATAACTGTAAGAAATAATGTTTGTTGTTTAAGCAACCCAGTCTATGGCAATCTGTTATAGCAGCCTGAACTAAGATAATCTATAAGGTAAGCCAAATAAGAAAAATATCCACACCCAAAATGACTTTAAGTGACTCCCAGAGGAACCCTGCCGACATCACTAAGTTCAGAGAGGTAAAATCAGGCAAAAAGCAGAATTATCCTCGGGGGTCCATAAAAATTTCCAGGCCTGGTTTGAAAGCAACTGTCATATCTTGACACAAAGGGGCATATATTGGATCCCAGAATGTTCTACG